AAGACATGAAATTTCTAGCGTCTCTGTTCCCCCTTCGCTTGCTCTAACTATGTTGTATAGATAGAAGTCGCTGAACAGTTAATTTACTCAGAGCCTCAATCTGCTTCCATCACTTTAGCCAAACTTCAAAACCCAACGAGGAATAGTTTCGATAAAGTTAATGATGATCTCAAAAAGATCCGTAAAGCGCATATCTCCTACGGAAAGGTCCTGAACTCGGTGAGTGATGCATACTTATTGTCATACAAACAGGCTTGAGGCTAACTATCATCTCTATAGAATCTCCCAAAGCAAACATTACCCACCGAAATCGATGCCCTCGCAACCTATCCCAAACTCATAAATCGAGCTATTGCCATGCACCTCTTACGCGAAGGTCAATTCGGCGTAGCATCAACATTCCTCGAAGAAGCACAAACCCTACAGGAGAATGGCTCAAGTCGTGGAACAAACCCATTAGATGGAGAAGATGTGGGCGATTTCACTTCCTACAAATCGCACGAACTACAAGATAAATTCACAACCATGTATAATATATTGCACCAACTCAAGCAACGGAACCTTCATCCAGCCATAGAATGGGCACAAGAAAACAGCAAAGAGCTCGAAAATCGGGACAGTAATCTCGAATTCGAACTTAGCAAACTACAATTTATATGGTTATTCCTAGGGCCGACAATAAATGGCCTTCCTGCAGATGAAAACAATGGCCTCCCAGGCGCACTCTGTTATGCACGAGTTTATTTTCCTCGATTCCAAGCTCGTTTCCTGCGTGAAATCCAACAACTCATCACGGCCATGGTCTTCGAATCTAATCTCCAACACTCCCCCTACCACCAAACCTTCAACACCTCCACCTCCTGGACCGACATCTGTAGCTCCTTCACGCGGGAATATTGTAGTCTTCTCGGGCTCTCGGCTGAATCCCCCCTCTACCTCGCTGCAACAGCTGGCGCCATCGCTCTCCCTACCCTTATAAAACTCGCCTCGATCGTCAAAGAAAAACGCACGGAATGGACGACAGAAACGGAACTTCCGGTAGAAATCGCATTACCGAGAAGTATGATTTTCCATCCAATTTTCGTATGTCCGGTGAGCAAGGAACAGACGAGCGAAACGAACCCGCCGATGATGATGCCGTGTGGGCATGTCATTGCAAAGGAGAGTTTGCATAGATTGAGTAAGGGGGCCAGGTTTAAGTGTCCGTACTGTCCGAATGAGAGTCAGCCGAAGGATGCGATGCAGATTTATTTGTAGGTGAACCGGGCAAAGGAGGGAAAGAGGAGGGATGGGATGGGATGGGATGGGATGTGATGTGGTGGGGATGAGGGGAAGGATTATATGGGTTTTACAGGCAAGCGTTGGTTTGAATTATGTTTGAATGGGATGGGATGGGATGGGATATGGCGTTCTAGGAAAGGAAGGGAAGGAGAGGGCGGGAGTTTTATGGGATATACACACGTCGAAATCTACAATTCAGATAAGACAAGCAGCAGGAATAGCGATAGAATGGAGAGGGAGAGAGAGCTCTCCTCCATACGAGTACATCAACATCAAACATCGATTGTTCATTCTAATCTTCTAGGCTACTAGCAATACAGTAGAAAGAATAAATATAACAAAACCCAATCTAATATCTCTCAACAGCATCCTTTCTTCCGTCCTTACATTATCTACTCTACTCGTATAACGCTAAATACTATGTATAATGTACAAGATTCACAATTTACAGCCAGTAGTACGAGTAACATTTCTTTCATCTGCATTATGTATGCCTTATATATATATATATATATATACAGCTATCGATCAATCAATCAATCCAGAATACTTTTCACAACATAGCAAGCGAAGCCTATTTATTACTATACTGAGTTATACAATTAGTATAGTAGTAATAAATTCATAATCGATTTGATCTACCTACCTACCTATGGCTAATGCTAATGCTGATGGTACATAAATGAGCCATGCGGCGATAAAGAAGCCATAATTATATACAATATAAGAATTATTATTATATAGCAAAAGTTATAAAACCTGTTACCCTCCCGGGAAATGCCTAAGTTGCTTGTGATAAGATGCTGTACGAGTAACGTCTAAACACTTATAGCCTGTGATAGCTGCGCAGATTACCGAGTATCTTCATTTTATTTATTTTAAGTTCATAGCTAGTTATAGCTATAGTTATAGTATCATCAACGTGATGTGGTGTTGTGGTTGGTATACTCAGTACTCGAACTATATTAATTACATTTTTTTTATTTCATTCCATTCATTCCTTTATATCTCTCAACTTCCTCTCTTCCTCTCTCTAATATCCATCCTTGATAAGATAAGGGGCTATTTACTAGGTATTTACTGCCTCATCGACCATCGACCATCGACCATTGACCAACATATCTCCTAACCTAAACCTAAATTTTAATCTCCTCTTTGATGGATTCTTTCCTCTCATTTGCATCTTCCACCTCTGTTTCCATTTTTGTTTTCATTTTTGTTGTTGTTTTATTTTCGGTATCTGCATCCGTATCTTCTTCCATCTTCGTATCCTCTTCCTCTTCCTCTTTAATCTCTCCCTTTCCCGTTTCTGTTTCTGTTTCTGTTTCCTTTTTCTCTTTCTCTTTCGCCAAGGCGTCTTCTTGAGTGTCAAGATCTGGTTGAGGTTCAATGTCCATTTCTTCTTTGATTCTCTTTTCTCCAGCTTCACTTCCAATGTCATCTTCCGCTGCTCTTTTCGATGTAGCTGATCCCTCGCCTTCGGTCTCCTCCTCAATCTTCATATTCGCATCTCCATCCGCATCCTTTCCAGCTGTTCCACTCCTTTGCCCACCTTCTGTTTCCTTTTCTATTTTAATTTCCTTCTCCTCCGTAAAATCCGCTCTCCTCCCTATCGCAGCCTCAACATCAATCCCACCCCCAATCCTCAAAACCTTCCCATGTTCCTGTGGCCCCATATCCTCCATTCCAACTTCCTCTGGTCCCCTTGCATGAGGCATCTCGTCCTCTTCTCCCATTCCACTCTCATCGCCTCTCCTTCCCCCCTCTTCCCTCTCTAGATCCCTCTGCAAACTTCTTAGTTGCGATGCTGGCACTACTCCCGCCTTCTGTTCCTGGCGTAATAATTCTCCTTGGGTAACTCCACCTTCGGCTCTCAAACCTTGTTCGCCGGAACTAGATGAGGATTGTGAAGAGAGTAGCGACATCATTGCATGAGAACCAACTGATGAGATGCCATTCACGGATATAGAAACTGTCTCAACTCCACCTGGTCCATTTGGTCCATCTATCGTTTCGGTACTCTCAGTTCGTACTTCACCGCGCGGAGAAGCGCCTCCAGAATTCGTACCATTTGAACTAGTGTGTGTAAGACTTGATTCGCGTTTATTCAACCAACTTATGGGTGTTAATAATGCGCCTCCTAATGCTTCGTCACTTCCCAATCCTCCATTTACTGATCCGTTCCCGACCGTGGGATTACTCCAGGAAATGCTGAGAGGGTCGGCCGATGTGGGAGTTCCATTGCTGAGGATGGAGGAAGAAACTCTTGGATCTGGAATGGCGGGTGGGAGGGGAAATGAGGTTATGGTTGATGTGACGTGGATTACGCGATCGAGGGCGTGGAGATAGGAGGGAAGAGAACGGTGGTGTTGGGTAGGGTATAGGAGGAGCTCGGAGAGGCGTTGAATTGTGTGAGGTGGGTGAGTTGGGAATGACTTCGTCAATGTATTTTGTATATCAAGAAGTTGCCTATAGCAGATTGGGGGGAGAGCTTCTAATGAAGGTTTAGAGGCCAAAGGGGTGTTTTCGGTATTGGTATTGGTATCGCGGTTGGGGGAGAGTGAAGGAGAGGAGGGGCGGGGATATGGTGGAGGTTTGGGATTTTGGAAGTCTGTAATGGCAATCTGTGTATTGAATTAGCCATCTGCGCATAATGTAGTATCTTGATAGAGCGATTCAAATGAAGCTATACCTTCTCCAATTTAGTCATCAACCTCTCAAGTAAACTCGGCCATGTCGAGCTACAACCCAAATATCAGTATAAAACCAACACCATGCAGCATTTCCAGTAATCACAAGAATGCGCAAAACATACTAATCAATAGATTGACCATTTGCGAGTGTCTTCAATATCTCATCATCATTATCGATATCCATTTTGGATAATTGCGACAAAGTTGAAAGTTTATGAATCGATTTGGTTTGATTTGATTTATTTGATGATGCCTTGATTGAGATTGTGGAAGAAGGGAGCTTGGGCCACTGATGGAATTTAGAGAGAATTATAAGAATTATGGTTTGATATTATCATAATTATGTTTCTCAATCTCATTTCACTGTGAGACCTATATTGAAAAACAAAATGCCTTTTCACCACAGTTTTCGGAGGGCGGCTTTTACGAATAGAGCTATCGATCCCCGCTCCCTTAGTTTAGCACCAGTTTATAGTGACTCTTAAAGTCGAATAATCACCCATATATCAAACTGAAGCATAACGAACAGCAGCTAAAGGAGGGAGTAATCAAATTACTCAGTACACAGGAACAGCATTTCTTCGTATTGAGAATAACCTGGCGCATAAGTAGCATGCGAATAGACAGTCCTTCTCCATATTGTGACAGCAGCCAAAACAGCATTCATGTTGGTGGCATGCGAATAGACAGTCCCTTTCCATTCCATTGTTTGTAACAGCAGCGAAATCGTGAGCTTCAACCTCTTCATTTCATATCAGCCTCCATTCCGCCTGAAACTTAACCTCACGACCGACTCCAAAGTCTGTCTAGACTCCGATGGGTCATATTCAAAATCTTGATAGCCTTCCCACCACCGGATATACATAACCTACATTCGTAATAAAATTTCAAAAAGTGGATTGAAATCCCTAATCTCATACCCTAGCACTGATTAGCGGAACCAAAACGCGTAGCCCCTTTTTTTCGCCTAGCGTCAAAGTCCTTTGACCATGAATATAAAAAGAGAACCTCCCTCTGCTCTCTTCCTCTTCTTTTCCTTCCCTCTTCATACTTACCTTGTTGAAACGGTTCGCAGGTCAAGTATTGCGACGTTGCGATACGAGTCCTCCATTGCACATCGGGGAGACGAGAATCGTTCAGTTGCCTTCGGGCACCTGATCAGCGGAATTTTTGATTGCTCTCCTTTATGGGATTTTTTTTCTTTTCATTGAGATCTTGACTTCGTGTTGGGACTTGAAGAAGAGTTTGGTTGACATGGTGTGTGCATGTGTGTGCGGGTGTGTTGGTTTGAGGAAGGTCGTGTGTGTAAGGGGATAGATAGTAGAAGATCTATCTCTGACTACCTATCATGCCATTGACCGACCTAGTCGAATATCGAACAGTCTGTGTTCTCATCGTGTGACATTCTGAAACAAATTTATGTCGCTGCCAAGATGACTTTTTCCTATCATACATTGGCAAAGGATGTCTGGTGGATCTTATTCTGGATTATCGTCGCAGATTCATTATATCTTGAGAAAACATTACATCTATTAAAGTTCATTAATTAACGCATATACGAACCTTGAACTTCGTATTGAGTTTGCTGTAAATGCATCTCCCATCCTTCATATGCATCATGCAATGCAATATGCTGGTACAGTATTGAAGTTCATTGCTGAGCAAGCCTGAGCCTCTGAGCCTCACTCGGTCCTGGATTGACTGCGCCCTATTTTCCTAGGTCTGAAAGGTACACAATGAACATGAATTGATGATATGAATTTGATTAATGACTTCATTGCCGAATCCTTGAGGCTGATGAAGAAGAGTTGGATTCTCCTAATAATGTTGACCTTTTGAAGTTTATTTGTATTTGCTATTACTGCTGCCCCAGCCTTATGGAACTTTCACACTAAACCTTTTTTAATTTAGCGACAGAAATAATTTCAAGTACGGGGTTATATGCACCTAAAATTTATAGTAAAATAGTAATAAGTGGTGGCTGGTGGCTGGTGCATTTTGAGTATCATTCTCATCCCTTCGACTCCATCAAACACACACGCTCACTCAAACCTCCTCTTATCACTCTCTCTCCCCAAGTCTATCTCTCTCTCCCACCCTCCCACTCTTCCACTCCCACTCTCTCACCTCTACCAAATAACCTCCAACTCTTTTATACGCTCTTCATCCAACATCCAACCTCCTACCCTCCTTCCTCTAACCTCCCGACCTTCCGACCTTCCGTAAACCTATTCGTACCCTAACCTGGAAAAAACAAAGTGAATCCTTCGTTATTCGACCTCTTCCTATCGAATTTCTTCAATAAACTCATTCATCACACTCGTTCGTCTTTCGCCTTTCGATTTATTTCACTGCATCCTCACACGACCTATTATAGAATCCCTACTCATTTTAAAACCTACCTCTAAAAGATCTCAACGCCACACTCATAACGTTTCACCACTGGGTCGCACCTTATTCATAAACATAACGAACCACCGAACACAACAGAAGGCCGTTGATCCATTCTACTCTACCTATCTATCCATCTGATAGACTAGCATTCCCCCGTCTACATCAATATCCAAGATTCTCTCCTGAGACCCCCGCCCTCAGTGCATTGATCGAGTTCACCTTGTCGCAAACTAACTGTACCCTTTCTTCATTTCACGCCAGATTTAAGTCATTCCCTTTTGGCTCCTGTGAAGGAGCCTTAAAACAACCGCAGACGTGGCTTTCAGACAGGATTCCCGAAAGTCCCTGCTTTCTCTTGGTCAGGGGCCATATGAACAAGACGCTGGAGGTTATTTTCATCGTGAAGGACTCGCATCAGGATCCAACGAAGTTTCAGCAAACAAAAAAGAGAAGATGTATTTTCCAAATACAACATGGACATGGGCATTCATGATTGCCGCAACTCTGCAAGCTGCAGCGGTTTTAGCAATTGAGTCGTAAGTTTCAATAACAGGAGAAGATACAACATCCTTCGAGGAATCTTTTTACTGATATGTATCCCTAGATATGTATTCGCGAAATTCCAAACGAGTCTGGTCCAAGGGAAACCAGACAAAGCTCTCGATCGAACCATTCCAACCTACCTCACCCTATTTATCTTTGGTTTCCTTTATCAAGTTGTCCTGGTATACGATTCGTTACGGCTCAAGAATACAATTCAGGTCATCGGTCTTTGCATTTATAATGGTGGAATGCTGATATACGCCTCCATTCAATACGATCAAATACAAACAGCAATTGAAAAATTGAGTTTAAATGGTCATTTGGATGCGCATGCTAACGTCTGGCCGGATGTGCAAGGACTTTTAGTCTCAGTTCCATGTATAATCGCTTTCTTTACCATCTTGATGTCATTCATAGCTTGGAAACTTTACGACGAATTTGCCTGGACGATTTACAAACACATCAGCGCTGATTTGCGAATGAAACGCAGATTTCTGACCTACCAAGTAAGTCAAAACGGTCTCCATGACTCCATCAATAACGGATACTAATCGGAATAGATTTATATTGCCTTGTTGAAATTTGATTTCTTCTTCTTCTTGGGATTCACGGTACAATTTCTTGTTATCGTAACTGGTGTTCAGGACTTCGAATTCGGTTTAACAATAGCCGCCATTCCCGTCACCATCTTCATTCTATTCATGGCCGCCTTTTGGACTCGTCGTGAAAATAAACCAGGAATGCTCTCGGCAATCTTCATCTTCCACTGTGGTCTGGCCTACTTTATCTTCAAACTTGCCAGAATGTACCAACCGGCCAAGGCTGCAGACTATTTGGCGGTTCGTAAAAATTTGACCAGTTTTGCCGTCATCACAATCACTTTGATCATCCTGACAATCGTCAACGCCTCGATGTGTACGGCAAATTTCAACAAAGGTCTCAAGCCACACTTGAGGAAACGAAAGATTGGTGGTGAAGAGGAGAAAATAGATCATATGACCGAGTTACCAGATCTCAGTCCGTCCCAAAAACAATCAAATCGCATGACGATAGACTAAGCAAAGGGCTTGGTAAAAAAAATGGGTCAATAAAACATCAAAACATTTGGTGACAAATTTCGGGATTGGATTATGACTGCTTAGGACTGGATATACAATTGGACGACTATGACATTGGGTTTTCTTTCTCTTTCTTTGTTACTTTTTTCTCTATTCCCTTTTCTTCTATTTTTTCCTTGCGACTTTTATTGTGATGGTCCTTTTTGAGCGAAGATATTTAAGCTTGCTTTACCTTGGTCGAATATGGCTGGTAGACTGCAAAGGCATTCGAGGAAACGAACCCTCACTTCATACCCGGAATCGATGGATATTGGCTGAACGGCGTTAGAGAAGGCGTGATTTGTGATTTTTGTCTTTAGAGCTGCCATGAAACAGGAGTTTGTAGGGGTGGATTTGATTTTGATTGTGTGATGGATGAATGAAAGGTCTTTGGGACTATCTTTCAGAAGAGGATTTGCTTGCTGAGCAACAGCATCCTACTTGGGGGAAAAATCATAGTAGCTGATGCTATGCTACTATGCATGCGATGTGATGTTTGCATATGAAAAAGCTTTGAGCGAAGCGAAGCGAGATCTTTTATGGATATGGAAGTAAGGAGGGTTGCGGGGAAAGGGAAGGGGGAGTGAAATGAAAATTATGGCTTTACATATATCTTGCGCACTCTGTTCTTGTGGTGATTTGACTTGGCTTTGTGAATACTGATACTGATACTGATACCGACTCACCTATTTTTGGTCAAGTCTAAGTAAGTGCATGTTTGAGTGGTAAAACGACGGTAGGTATATCTCTTGTCCTCCCCTCTAATATGGGGAGTGGGAAGTGGGGAGGGGGGATAGGAGGGGGTTTACTGAACTGTACAGGTCAAGGCGAGGCGAGGCAGGGCCATCCCTCTGCTTTATGTTTTTATTGCAGCGAGTACGAGTTCATTCAGTTTCAATAGGATATAATGGATTATAATCAGTGAAATGGGGAGAGTGATGGGGAGGAGTTGGTGGGTTGGGATTGGTGTGTTGTGTGTGGGTGTGTGAATGTGAATATAAATAAATGTGTGGGTTCACTAGGTGAGATGAGTGGGTGATGAGTAGGTTCGGTGTTTTATGAGAGGGTGTGGGGATGTGGATGTGAGGATAGATGGAGATGGATAGAGTGTAGGAAGGGAAGGGAGTGTAAGAAGAGAGAAGAGAAGGGAGAAGGAAGTGGTAGATTTTTGGGGGTGTGGGGGTTGTTTGTGGGGAAAGAGAGGGATAGAGGGGTGGAGAGGTAGAACTTCTTTTGTATCGATCTTTCTGAAGTCTTTCTTTCTTTTTTTGTTTTCGCTTGATCTTTATTGTTGCGGCGGTTTGATACTTATTGTGTTTTTGGGGGGTGGATGTGGTGAGTAGGTGGGTCTGTGGGGTTCTTGTGTTGAGGAGGAATATTTTCTTCGGAAGAGGAGGTAGGGGGTTGTGGATACGTGGATTACCTAGTCTGTGGATAGGTATATGCGGGTTAATGAGGGTTTTTTTGGTTGGTATACTCCCTCTTCACCCTCTCTCTCTCTTTCTTCTAGTCTTCCTTTTACTCTTACTCTTCCTCCCTGCTTCAGTGTAGTCAATAGTTAGCCAGTTGAACCAGTGTACTGGTAGCACTGGCAGTTTATTTGGTTTCACTAGTTCAACTGGTAGTTTAGTTTTCAAACTGACAGTTAAACTACGATTTTCCAAACTGCCAGTTTCCCGACTGGTTCAAACTACTGAATACATTGCCCTGCTTTTACTGAAGTTATTATTGGGTTGGCTTTCGATTGATGTGCAATGATATAATGTGTATACATACGCAAATGATACCCAAATAATATGTCCATCTACCTATCTTCCCCTCGTTTCTGCATCTGATGGCAAATCATTGGTACCGTGCTTCATCTAGGAAGCTGATTTGATTCCAGGCCATAATAACTGAGACGAGATTTCCAGATATAAAGAATGAATGCCTGATATATACTCAGTAGTATATCAAGTATCTACCCGAGTACAAAGCTATGCATAGAGTACGTAATCACACATTTCATCTCCAAATGAGCAGGTAGTTTATCAATATTGCTTACGAGTACGACGAGCTTGATCATCTTTTGGAAGGAAGGAGTTTTCTCTTTGATATATTCGATTGATGAGAGGTGCTTTTATGGTCGATTGGGTGCTCAAGTTGTCTGGTATTCATTCTTGGCGTAGTTAGTCAAAGCTTAGTAAGTATGGAGGGGGGGTGTGAGGGTGTCTCTCTCCTCGACTTCCTCGAATTCAGATTCAACTGTATTTGATCATGCTAATGAAATGGATCCATCCATATCACAAAAAATAACTCCGAGGAATTCACTTACCCAATTCACAGCATGCATAACGTCCTACGGCGGAGTAGAATGGCTAGATTTTTAGAATTGGAATCCTCAAGCTGCATTGTCAAATACAGGTACCCAGAAAGTGTCATTTAAGTTACGCTACATCACTACATTTCAACTGTAACTGTAACTTGCTCTTCTCTAGTTCAGTGCAAACTAGATCTTTCTATCGATCTTCCACAGAACATTCAATACATATTAGATAGAAAGGCATCGCATAACGCACAAGCCTCTTTGTGATAGCGGTTGCCGTCTTTCGTTATTTTTGGATCTTGGAGAGTACATTGGATGGCAGGAAAGTGGAATCTAGTTTTAGATAGACTGGCTATTTTCTATTGTCGTTGAAAGTATCAGTATGTCTTTATGTTTGGTTTTTATTATTGTTAATTCATTTTGGAATGTTATTATCGCTTTTGCGAAAGCTTTTAAATGGTATATGGAGAGGATGAGGATGGGAATGAGATCCAGTAGGTGGGTGTTGGTGTGAAGTGCACACTTCAACCAAGCAGTGGATAAAAGTATGATTTATGTGGTGGTATTCATTTCCAGCGTCGTCCTCCATCTAATTGGAAGAGTGGAGGTGGATGAAGACTAGCTCGGTTAGAATTAATCCTCTACTTCTCTCTCTCTCCTGATGTACGTTTATACACAATATTTGTTGCTGTCCAGTCCTTTGAACTTTGCTCGAGTGTCTTCGAAGTATTCACGACCATAAATATATGAACCTTATGCTGTCACGATAGTATGCTAAATGCCTGTTGTTCAGATGTTTTTGAAGAACACGATTTTTGTGAGAAAGAGAGTGTGTATCTATTGACAATATCGTGGATAAAATGTAATAGCTATGCTTGTTGTTCGTTGGCTAGTGCTGTTAATCTTTCAAGGGAGTTGAGAAAGAAAAGAACAGGAGAGAAAGATGTGGATTCCTCTTGTCATTATTCCAGTTTGTAAGTATATTTATATATATGTAATATGCAAGATCCACTGCATGGACGCTCTTAAGCCCTTCTATTCGCTATCGTTTACTCCTATTCGCTAAGTACTGATTTAATTTAATAACTGTTAACGTTCTCTGAGGAGTGGCAGATGCTTTTATATTGAGTTGGGGCATTCTTCCGCCAGGTTCAGTACCGGCCCCGAGACGTGTCAGCTTCTCTTTCCGTTCATACATCCCGTTCGACCTGCACACCAATCTTATATTTCTCTCTATTATTACTGTTATTATATGTTCTTGATAATTTCTTTATTGTTTTACCAACATTCTCGCATACCGCCCCATACATAGATTTTCTACAATCCGAGTTTCTTTCTACAAATACATATTCTCCAAGATGTTGCATACTTTCGTTCGTTCATTAAGATTATGTGGACATCTTCTCTGCAACTTCTCTGTGTATTCTAGCTGACACGAGATAAACACTCCATCGCAGGCGTAGTTAACCGGTCATCCCGAATGGCAGCACAAACGATGCTCACGCAGTCTTCAACTGTCACACCTTTCGCCGTAGTCTCACTCCCAATCATGATCTCACTCCTTGAAGAAGGAATCCCCAGCTACTTCTCACGAGTGTTTACATGTGGTTTGCGGCCATTCTAAGCAAAGGCAACATCTTCGGATTGTAAAAGTGTGTTCTGTGATGAATGAGACAACACTCCGTTGCCTTTTCAGCAATTTCTTTTGTCCAAATACGGTGGTTTTGAAATCAGATCTTGCGATGACAATGGCAACTAAGCTGCGGGGTAAGCATCGAAAATCGAGGGCTGGAGTGCTTCGAACATGAGATTGAAGCGTATCCTCGATTCCAAATTTACGGTTTCGTCAAGAAGTTTCTTCGTTTTGAGCCACATGATATCCCAGGACTCATTCTCCTTTTCTCCTCTATATTTATGCGTGTCCAGAAAGGTAGCAAAAAGCTCCCTGATCGCAGTCTTTAGGAGAGCGAAAGCATGAAGAAAGAACTGTTTCAAAGCACCTCGAGAGCTGTATGAGTATGACGAGCTGATATCAGTGCGAGCGAGTTGAGAGCCTGGTTTCCCATTTCTGCAGGCTTAACATGAAACCCAGCTGAATTGGATAGAAATTCGAGCTCTGATTGAAGGGCTGCTGTGAGAAAATCCAGTGGCTTCAGAAGTCATGATGATGATGGTTCATCGGCTGCGAGATTGGGCGGCTGTGATTGGAGAAAATAACATTAGCGTGTGTTCTTTTCATCAATAGTGTGTACATGTGAGAATGCAGTATAGACAACAATTGTTGTAAGAAGCGCAAAATGTACGCTATCTTGAGACACTAAAGGTTTGGCAATTCGCTGAAGTTTCGACGGGGAGAAGAGTTCAAAGGATAGACAATGATGAAGGTTAGTCACATATCGAGATTTTGTCAATGCTATCAATCGAGTCGCGTGATGCTTGCATAACAATCTTGGCACGGGAAAAGAAGTCGAAACGCTAGCATATATTGACCTCGATAATTTTATATACCCATCGCTAATATGATGAGCTGTTAAAGCTAGCTACAAGGTAAGAAAATACACAAGTGTAGACTTGAATCTACTGCCAATTTATTGTCTTTAGATTCTCCTTCTATCGCCACGAAATAGTGTCGCCGCTCAACTTGACCTCATACGAGCTGCAAAATGCGCAAAACATTTTGTTACTTCTGGTCAGCTATTGCCATCTGTGGCGACGATTCTGGCCGGTGCTGATACTGAACTGCAAACATTAGAGACCCCGACGGTTGAAAAGCTCTTGACCACTTTCACCAAGAACTGCCCATACAACAAGAATTCCGATGAAGTATGCGATGAACCGTTGATAGTGATGCTACTTCGAGGTCAATGGTTTTTGTGCAGCCCACCATTCAACTTCATTATTATCATTGTCATTGGATTTACCACCGGTATCAAAAGGCATCGACAAAATGTACGAAGGAAATCGGATATTCGTCATGTTTTCCCCCTTCCATGTAGGTACTTATGATCTTTCCTATCACTCCAATGGCAGCCAAAGTACATAACGCCCGCCGATACGCAAATACAGGCCGCTTATATTGCGCATGCCCTCGTCAATGGGATATCATTTCAAAACTCCGTGATCCTCCCGTTGCAGGCTGCAATACCTTCAGCACAGTCTTAGTCTGGAGCATTGAAGAACAAGTTTGATGTTGCCTTTGTCGTGCCATCAATTTTGGAGGAAATTAGCAAATCATCAGAGCTTTTAGAGCACGGATCTACCAACCGTGACAAAATAGTATACTCTGGAGGGGATCTATCTCTTGGCTGTGGCACCGTACGAGTAGTCGCATCTCGCGTGCAATTTGTCAATCTCTATGGGACTACTGAAGGCGCAAGTATTTCTTAGTTTTGGCTACCGAATGAGATTAATGGGGTAATAGCAACCGCCTCCCAGCGGTTCCAGACAACATTACTATTAGAACTTGCAAGCAAAAAAGTACTGGCGTCCGCGCGGGAATTCAATCTGATGGTTACAATCTAATCTTCGATCGAAGAGGCAAGTGGAGCATGCCCGAAATATGCTCGAATAGCTAGATATCAAGTACTCTTCATTTCCTTGGATTATCTCCTGATCAGGACGCCCAAAGGGACCATTATGAGAGAGGCTAGTCTGGCTCGTTATATCGAAGAGCCTGATACACTCTATGAGAGTATCGACCAGCTTCTGATTGATTCCAGCACAGTTTCATTGCCGCACGTCGATCCTCACAATTTTGAAAGCTCGCTTGTGTATCTGAAACATACTACCTCAAGACTTACAGTCTTGTCCTTCGAGGACGAAAACAACTTATTCATGCATGGTATGGATTGTTTGCAAGCCTTGCTGTTCACACGAGATATGAAGCAGGCTTTTGGTATTCAGCGATTAACTGCCAATGATATCTATGGAAATCGATCGCTCGTGTCACTTGCCGGATCTCTGCAACTTGCCTCGAAACAAAAAAGGGAGGTGAAAACACCGCCAGTTGCCGAGAAAACACGTCTGAAAAATGTTGAAGCTATGTTTGCAGAGTTTGCAGCTTAGTCGACTGTATTCCTCCTCTAAAACACAGGTATGTTTTCTTGCCAGCAATAGAAGGCAAAAGTGTCCTTCTCACAGGCCTCTCATATTTTGCAAAGTCTCTTGATTGCAACGACCACACATTTACTGTCTCAATCGGTCAGTGCGGTATTTGACTTCATTTCTGGAAATAACCGACAGCATCCCAAAGACAACAATCCACGATGTGTCAGCGCCGGAGGCTATGGAATAGGGTGAGAGTAAATATCTCTCGGAGCGGAATTCTGGACTAAGGTAGCAGGAAATCTAACTCCACGTTAGTATTGCATGCGTTGGCCAGATCTCTGGTTCTACCAAGGAGCCAATCGTTGTGGAACAGACATGAGTGGTTTCCCAGTTTGATGATATCGTCTTTGTTCTTGGGCGAGGTGCCAGATTCTTTAGGGGAGGACTTGAATAGGATAAATTGGATACCAGTTGGTGCTCTAGCGGAGACACTTCTTGAGCTTTGCCAAATACCCCAGGATGGCGGAAAAGTTAATGGCACAATGTTTTTCAATCTGCTTAATCTACAACAAGTATAGTGGGACGACCTTCTGCCGACAGTCATCAAAACGCTCTCTTTGGGTGATGATTCAAGGACTAACTTAAAATCGAGAAAATAAGGTTTGAGAGCTGGATACAGAAGGTAAAAGAGAAAATGGGCCAGCAGTCTAGTCGCAGCACAGTAGAGGGCGAGGCAGGGGAAATGGATTTCGATCGCTTGGTGGAGGTGAGACCAGCCATCAAATTGCTGCATTTTGAAAGAGCGGCAGAAATGAGAGAGAAGTGCAACGAGTGGGAGACAGGGAGAGCGCAGGAGCAGAACGAAGAACTTCGAAATATGGGAAAGGTAGAGAAATTTTGGATAGAAGATGGATTGAGATTTGGTTAACCGGAATATGGATTAAGGTTTGGTTAACCGAACGACTTAGTAAGTGACAAAGGGTCGACATCATGTTGGAGATGTCAGTGTCTTTTCTTCGAAGCGGAGAAAGTTCGAGGAATCCTGTGAACTAATCAATTTTTGGCGAAAGCGTGACCAGCGGATGGATTTAGCTCCACTTCCTAGACCTTCTTCGCCAAATTTAAAGCAAGAACAAAACTTCACAACATAATGTCATCTATTTCCACGACTGCTCGACTGATTCAACAGAATATCTCTACATCCAAATGGAGTACAAATGGGTTCCATGTTTTCGTTAATCGGAAATATTAGTTGAGGTTTTGGTGGTAGTATACCACGATGCAACTATGCTACGGTTATCAAACGGGGTTAGAAAGCTCATATACCTAATGCTAAATAAAGATTAAATGTCCAGATCTAACAAGGTAACAAGAGATGTTGCAGAAAGGCTCGTGAGCGAATGTATTAGTACAATTAGTTCTCCGCGGTATATATGATGGGTCACAAGGTAGGTTCGTAACCTCTATTACTTCCCTTGGCTGTAATTCACCATTTAGTTCCTTTCTCTCAATTTCCAAATTCTAACATCCTTTCAGCAGATGATGATATCTCCTTTGAATAGCTAGGCTAACTTCAAGGTAGTATATGCCACTACTTCACACTTGTTGATTATGAAATAAGCTGCTTTCCTCTATGCTGGCTTTTTTTGGTTCCATCAATGCTCATATGCAGGCTTGATGAGATGGTAAGCATGGATTTGAATATCACGGATGCTGGAGGATTTGGAATCGTCGAATAGTGTCTCCTTTTGTGCCTCCTTTGCCCGCTTGTTTACCCACGCTATATTGTTCTGTTTTATAGCCTATCTTTTAGTCCTTCATCCCCACCATTTCACAAGTCACACTTTCCGCTCGTTTTATCTTCCCGTCTTTTGTAGGCTATTTCTCCCGAGTCGCGTTTACTCTCGGTATCTGCGCAAAGCAGATTAGGGTCTTGATGACTACAAAGTCCTTATTTATTTTATTAATCAAAGTGGCGCTTCTACGCTAGCCACTTGTACGTATACAAGCAAGTCGAAAGGAACAATACGCTCTATTTTCGACTGGCACGTTACCATGTCATGTGCTGCTTGCTGATGTAAAGGTTTTTGCATATTTGGTTTGGTTGAATATGGTGGTGTTGGTGGCCATCTCGACGCGCTCTAGCAATTCCTCCTATTGTCACGCCATGCTATAAATACCGACTTGCGGTTTCGTTTTATTAATTTGCCATGGTGAGATCCCAAAATTGGCCATTAGCCTTATTTTTACGAATCTCTACATTACCAATATATCGCAACCTCGTTTACTCCCTCTTCTTCATTGGTCACGGTCACAGAAACTGTGTGCTCTATCTTCACTCTAGACTTGTGCTACACGTCCTCTTTCAAATGGGATCGAACGATTCTCGGCAGCTCATGCTACAACCAAAGTCTGTTCTAATGTTGGGGTCCCTTTTCGAATATCATTAGACTTGGTAATTTTGGCTATTCCATGCCGATCGTCTGGGGACTACTTACATCGAGAAACATGAAGATCAAAAAAGGATTTCACACATAGCGGGTTGGCAACCACCATCCTGCGTTTTGACTCATTATTCAAGGATAGCGCTCTTTCTGATGGAATATGGTCGTCTATTGATCTGATGACATAGGCCCTCGTTGAATCCGATATTTAATCTTATCGCCGCTTGTCTCATCACCTCTTGGCCCCTCCTTGCTAATTGGTGATAAAGTTCAACTAACAATTTAATTCATTAAACTGAACCGATTAATAGTTTGGAATTACCAAACTAAACTATCAGTCTGATCAGTACATTAGTTCAACTGGCTAAATATTGATTACCCTGCCAAGATGGAAACCAATCATTCCTGCACTCCTGTATGTGGCGTAATAGTCACGATGACGGCTGGAGGGAGTATCACCAAACCAAGGGGCCTGAGAATCGTCCTCCTACCCATTCTATCCATAACTTATATCCAGTCTCTGTTCATTCAAAACATCATCCACTAGAGCGCCATTCTCAACTCAACTATCACTTTCCCCTCAGCATATACTCGAGTATATCTCCACCCATTTGATTCGCCTAGAGTGGCGCGCACTCAGAACAAATGCAAGCGACCAATACATAATACTATTCAGTAACTCAAGTAACTACAAAGCCTTCCAGGATTCGCAACAATAGTTATCTTTACGATGACATGACTTCCCATATATTCCATTCATCAGAAGACTGCTTGCCCTAACCGGTAATGAAGTTCTACGCCATCTGTCTGGTCTGCGATATCTGTGCATTCGAAATGCTAACTTCTTAACTTTTGGATTGTTTAACTCATTAATCTATACTTTCGGGCCGGGCTACGATTCAATATACGTACCTGTTCAAAAGTACGCATAGTAGAAAACATCATCATCTTTGTACTCGTATTCGCACTCCCTCCAGCTCTTTGTGCTTGGTTATATATAACCTTGACACGAGGCCAGTGGTGTCACGCCACTAGGCGGATAAAGGTTTGAATAGTGTCTTTTAGCTTCAATTAATCTGAGGTATGACAACTTACAAGTCGTTCATCTAGAGTCGCCTGTGTGTATCGACTCGGTTACGAGGTATTAAGTATTTCCTGACACTCTGGGGGTGCTAGGTAGGTAGATTCTATTTCCACTTTTTTACACGCGGAAGCTTTCGCCTCTGATGATATGATATCAGGGACTGTCGGGATACTGTAGTCCGGTTTTCCTTATTCCATGGTCTGTCATGCATGATCTTCACACTCGACTGTATATAGTAGTAGATACTAGACAGATATAGGTATGAATATCTCGCATTTGTCTATGCCAATTAATACAGCAATCTATACAGTAACTCCCTCTCCCTCCATCTAACCCTACCACCTCCAAACCGTTTCCACCCTTTCAGCTCCTCAGCCTCGATCACCAAAAATCTCTCCCCATCCAAAAAAAACAAGTTTAAACACTCTTCCCCTGTTTTCTCAACTGCGCCAAAATCGCCTCTCCAACTCCACTAGCACTCGCCGGATTCTGCCCTGTGATAATCTTTCCCTCCCTCGCCACCACCACATTCGGCGCATAATCATCCTTTGCCTTTTCAAACTTGCCATTACTAGCTTCATTCAATGCAGTTTCCAGTTCAAACGGCATCGCATCCAACACTCCATAATTCTGCTCTTCGGTATTGGAGAATCCGGTCACGGCAGTGTCCTCAAGGAAGTATTTACCCGAGGGAAGTTTAGCGTATGCAAGAGCCGCGGGTCCGTGACAGACGGCGGCGATGATGCGGTTTTGGGAATGGAATTCAGAGATTATTTGGTGGGATTTGGTGTTGTGGGCGAGATCGAACATGGCTGGGTATTATTAGCTGATTGTTTTTATATGAAGAGACCCTATCATATTCCATAGAATGACAAAGATAGTATAGGATATACATACGACCATGACCTCCAACATAGAAAACAGCATCAAATTCCGCGGCTTTCCCTACGAAATCCGCAAGAGGCGCAGTGTTTTTCCAAAGAGATTCCTGAGTTTTCAAGAAATTGACAGAGATGTCATCTTTGGCAGCATCGATAGATGCGGGATCAAGAGGAGAAGCACCGCCGAGTACGGAGGCGATAGTTATTTGGGCGTGGGGGGCGAGAATATCGTAAGGATGGGCGAATTCGGGCTAGGGAAGGAGGGTAATGTTAGTTGGGATTTTGGAGAGGGGAGGGAGGAGAGAAGACGGGAGATATGTGGGGATAGGTGCGAGGGAGACGAACAAGGTACCAGCCAGTAGGCTTTCCAGAATTACCCATTTGATCATGGGATGTGAGGACGAAGAGAACTTTTGGTTGTTGAGCTTGGGGAGACATTTTTATTGTGTATGGTGGACTAATTTTTCGATGAAAGAGTATTGTTCAGGTTGATATTTAGTGATGAGGAGTTTAAAAAGTAGTTGTATTTGACTGATTGTTGTTATATCAGATGATGTGATGTGAAGTGAAGTGATTTAATGAAGAAACTTTCCCATTCTCCAAGATATTCACTTCTCTTTATACAACATCATCTTACGAAGCTTTTCTGCTTTTTCTGCAACATCATTCACTATTGTACACAACTTGTCGTACGTGATGTTCCAGATATTCGGCGATAAAGATTCAACCGCAGCAAAACCAACAATTTTATAAGTTGGTCTCCGAATCATTTCATTAATCAATCCATCCATCACTCAATCAATCTACACGATTCCATTCCAAAACGCATATCATACACATTAATGAACCAAGCCGCTGGAACTTCTAACATATCCTTACCAAATCTGGCATCCATATTCAATAATTCGATCCCATATATCATTTTACCCATTTTATCCCTCTCTTATGAACTAAGCGAACACCAATTGAATCATCTCCTCAACTCCGGAAATGCGCTACAAAACATGATTTATCATATCAATATAATCAATCCAATCCAGCTCAACCTAAAATCCGATAAGTAGACTTGTTGCCATAAATTGGTGGAGTATTGATTCTCCTCTCCTAAACCCCGAATACTGGATGGAGGTGTATCGATAAAAAGCGGTGATAAAATGCTTACAAATTAGAACTTTTGGGAACACAAGTTTGGGGCTGGAATGAATAAGAAATGCGATATTGATAAAACATGGAATGAATAAATGTTTTGTAATTATCTTTCGGTTTTTAACAAGGTACCACGACATCAAGCCATGCACATGTGATCATCTTCGTGGTAAAATAGGTGTAATCTAATAGATACGTATAGTATAAGCAATCCACCGAGCCTAGAGGCAAAATCTAGCTATCGTTATCACCATCCCTTGGTGACAGACGATACATAGATCTCATCCGAGATGAATAATATGGAAAAGCATTGAGGGGTAAATAGAAAACCCAGGATGTAACTTTATGATTGCACCGATAGGGTGGTGCTTGATTTCCCTTCATTCCATCTTTCATTTCCTACATTCCGATCCATTCGAAAAAGAGGGTATCGCCATGTTTATCAGTCCAGCAAAAGTCTCGCGCGGCATTACCTCCACTCCCATCCATTAATATTTCCTAGTTGTTCAGTTTCTCGTTCGCTGTCTCCTTGGCCTCTGCCTTCTTGGCTGATAGAAATTTGCTCAGCCATTGAAAGGCCTCACTTGACACGATCAATCCCGTGCTAACAACCGCCTTTCCGTAACCAAAAATGCCCTGATCTTCTGTCTTGTTCACCTCACTGTTGTATTTTCCCAACACGTATTCCTTTCCCTCGCTACCCTTTGTTATTGGGTAGAACACAAAGTATTTTCCATCACTGTAGAGCTCGCCAGTGGGTTTCTTGACGGCGGGGAATTTGAACTCGATGGTCGATAGAGTAGAGTCGCCGAGTTCGTCGACTTTCGCAACGTAGGGCGAGACGTATTGGTAGGGCTTCTGAAGGTATGGAATGAATGGTTTGCCGAACTTCTCGTATGAAGTTGCGGTTAGGTCGATGGATCTTTGGCCATATGGGTTGGATTTAAAGGTGGAGATCGAGTCATGAATCAGAGGGTAGGATGTGAGGTGCTAATTATAAGAAACGTCAGCATCATGGTATGGGTTGAGAGTTAACGCTCTGGAATAACGCACACTGAGGAAGGCAGATGAAGGAGTCTCTCCGTTCACTTGAGGCGCCATTCCGTTGGACTTTTGGGACGAATGTGGCATAGATTATGTGACTATTGATGAGTCCGGTATCAGCCAGGTCCCAGAGTCAAAACCATTGTTCTATAGCTCGTTGTAGATGGATACTTCTGAGATCCATCCAACCAGGGCTTGCATAAGATTGCAATTATAACCAGGATGTATACATACTATTTGAGTGATCTCAGATGGTTATATCTGTTCCTGAGTAAATATATGACTGATGCGAAGATATGAGTGTAAATAACGTTGGTCAGAAGATCTAAAGTAAGCTTTGGGTGAATGAAAGGTATGTGGTTGTCTGAGGTTATTATGTGACGGGAGAGCAAGAAGTATGGGTAAAGTTTAGTGCGCCACACATCTGGGCATATTTCCAAAGGGGGTGTAGATATATGAGATGAGATATGTGAATTTTGCATGTGCTCTCAACGCATTCGCATTCCCTGATTGCAAACGGGGGGGCTGGAAACACAAATCAGGTTTTTCATTGACCTATGGAAATAAGCTACCAAACTTGGGACTTGTAAGAAGGTGATGATTGATTGGATCTTCTTTTTACATATGATATTTTTCTTTGTTCTTTTGTGTGTGATGTGGTGTGGTGGTGAGAGGATGCTGTCAAGTGGGTTGACTGATGGGAAGCGATCGTAATTGATGCCAAGAAGCATGTGAAAGTAACGATAATAACATAATAACCTAAAAGGATGATTTCACAACTATAACTATATTACTTATTAATATACATTTTCTCATCACTAAAGAGGAAGGTCTGAAATTCTCTCTATTTCAACTATGATAAGATTACAATACAATACCGGTATATGAAAGAGAAGAACTTGTGTTACATGAGTACAATACAAAGCGTCAAGAATCCTTATCTCCCGCTAAACCTTATCTCTCTACGAGTAGCTATCAAAGTAGTTAGTTGTTTGCATTTCAACTCTCCTTTCCTCCTCCTTCTCCTGCCTTTGTGTTCTCCTGCTCTATCCATGTTCTAGTTTGCTTTTTATATTCGTGAGGACATCATCCTGTGTATTAGGATTGACATGCATTTTGAGCCCTAATCGGATCATCGTCAGGGTCCAGGGTAGTATTTTTAGAACCAATTGGCACTGCAAACAGCAAGCACCAAGCACGAACCAAGCATATTGAAGTCTTTTCATCTCCTGCCTAATTGTATCGCGTCGGCGACATCGCACAAATATCAGCCACACCCGACAATAAATTCTGACATGTGAAGATAGATGCTCACTATCCGAGAAATAGAAGAGAGCTCCAGTCTAGACATGCGGGAATGACTTGACTTCACATGTGCAGTAGTACTAGTGAATCAGTCCGTACTTCGTCTACTCCCCAAAATTATCATCCCGCGTATTTCCTGTTACATATAAACAGGAGGTTCACTAGAGAGATACAAAAGAATTGAGGTTCTACTAAGCTGGTTCAACGCTAGTCCTCCTCCACTTGGGGGGAATACTCTTTGTGGCACTTACTGCTACTTGCTAAGCGGCCAGTTTAGACCTTTTTTTTGTACGTTCTTCTGCAGTAACCCAACATCGTATCATACTGGTGTATGTATAGCACGTGCCGATTGATCTAACAGGCACGTTGCCGGGTCTGATATGATACCACGGGTCTCGATGAACAGTCCCAGAAAGCCTTCTTCTATAGTCGCCACAGTGGTGTCAACTCCCTTTGGTTGTGAGCAGCATTGCCATTATTTGATTATATGAGCTGAATGTCTCCTGTCATACCCAGAGCCTATCGGACCTCAGAAAAGCTATGCAGCACCTGCAAATGACCACCGATTTCACTATTCTCACTAGGATCAATAATCACTACCCTCACTGCAATTCACGCATTCTTCTCCGTCTTGCCTTTTTGCATATGTCCCCATTTGTCGGCAAAACCCTCTTTCTCTGCAAATTATCGTTCGGATCTAGAGTCGGCTCAACCTCCATCTCCGATCTAGTGTCGACAACCATTTCACTGTCCTACTGCTGAGGGGCCACAGAACAGGAGTCCCATCATCGAATGGATCGAGGTGAACTTCTCCTCGATTACTCGCAGCCTAAGCAATGGATGTCGCATTTGTAGCCAGTGCCTCCTAGCATTCTACCCTTTCTTTCGCGTGGTTTAGTGGGGCCTAGGACCCAGGTTCCTCTAAAAGTGCGACTTGATTAGTATGAATGTAAAACATCTTCTAGAAACTCTACATACATGAACAAAACCCATTGGGACACTCAACTGTATGTGACATGTCTTTCGTGCATTTTATTCAAGACACTGTTACTGTTGACTTATTCATCTGTGTAGCCGTACTGTAACTCTTATTCCTTTGGCAAGTATTGGTCAAGATGCTTTCGTATGGTCTCTCCATCCTATCGTATCTCTTCATCTTGACAATTTATTTGTTAAGTTGTTAAGTTACCAATAAAATATTGTTATCCCGGACTTGGAGTTGAAGTCCCGTGGTTGGTTTTGGAGAATTTAGTAACTGAGTCGAAAATAAATCAATTTGGTTTATCTAACTCTAACAAATGAAGCCATTCAAAGTATACATGACATAGGAATGATATTCAGTAAGACTATTGCATAATATTGTATCGTATAGGTAGGTAGATACATTGGTTCATAAGCTTATTTACCTGTTAAGTTATATTGCAGTACTACTGTATGATTTAAAGCTTCGAACCCAAATCACAAATAGCTCATCTTCACTAAAGACTCAGAATCTCAACCTTATAAAGTTATACATCACAATACAAACCATACTCGAGTACGAGTATATAAGCCACACATCTCGCACTTCCACCCTCCTCAAAGTTCAAACCAAGCACTTCCCAAAACAAAATACCTAGTCCATCCCCCTCCCCCAAAAAAACGCGGGGTAAATCAATAATAAAACAGAATTCGAATCACTAATTCCCTATCATACCTTATTACTTGTTATTTATATAACTTGTATTATGTCAAAAATCTTTTCATATGTTAAGTTTTCACGGTGAACTTATATCGAGTATTTTCTCAAGCGAGTAATGGTCGGAAATTCTTCGAGTATAATAATGGCTGAAGGATAAGTGGTATATGAATCTAAAATCGGCAGTTGGGTTATTATTAGTTGAGGCAGTAACGTCTAGAGGGGGAATGCTAGTGTACATTTTCATTCTGCAGCTATACTCGAGTAATAGATTAGAATATAATAGTCAGCTCTCCATAGAACGGCCACCTGATCCCCAATAGGGTATATTCACTTTGAAAATCTAAATAAAATTATTGCTAGTATAGATCCTAGCACTACACCAGAAGGTTTTAGTGCTATAATTTAGTAATCTTTTTAAAAGAATTTCAACAAATATATACTATTCTCAAAGGGATGTTTGCTTGCGGGAGATATTTGCTTTCTCTGATTGGGAACCAGGCGGCTGTTCCATGGAGAGCCGACTATTAAGGCTTTATTTTCTAATTTGGACTATGCAATATGTACAAGATTTGGACGAGAAGATTTCCAAAAAGGTTCGAGTAGACTGACTATACATGTATCTTTGCGGTATTTCTGCTTTCTGATACAAAATACGGTACTAAACTCTATCTGTTTATTTACCCCAGTGTGCTTTTTGGTGCTCTTTCTGGGGCATTGTGCAACGAGTCTCCCGTTCCATTCTTCTCTGATCTCGAACTCCCATCGGTAACTCCTTTAAACTCCATATTGCCATTGACATTCACCAAATCCTCCCTTGGGCTTCCCAAATCATTTGGTGTCATCTCAAACGTAACCTTCTTCCCATTCTTCCCACCTCTCTTTCCATTCCGTTGAAACCCCCAAATCGATCGAACTTTCATAACTGCGCTCCAAACACTATAGACAATGCCCACAATCACTGTGATGAAATCCAAAATATGCACAAACCACCAAATATGCTGGGTACCCAATCCGCAATTCACAAATTCGAATTTCCATTCCCAACTCTCTCTGTCAAACCATACACTCAACAATCCTGCATTTCCAGAAAAATCTCCCATCACACTCCTGACTGTGATTTCGCGCAGTCCGGGAATACCCGACTGGTTTACGAGATGTTTGACTTCTGGGTATCTGTTGCATTTCCATTCTCGTTCCTCTTCGGGTGAGCTTTGGTTGATGTGGTGATAAATATCACAACCTTCGTGGTCATGGCCAGTGAGAACAACACCGTGTCTTCCCAAACCTTGCCCGGCTACTTCTGCACTCCCGCTCATGCCAAACACACCTTCCAACATACCCTTGGAGGCATCGCGGGAAAGATGGTTCTGTTCCTTGACCCCATTCTCGAATTCTCCGTCGAAAAAGTCGAAGAATGGACCGTCGACACAAATCCCTTCGTCTTTGTATAGCGGGATATGAGTGAGGACGAGTGTGAAAAGCGCAGATCGTTCGACTTCATGAGACGTACTTATTAAATCGTTAAGGAATTGATAGGACTCGTCTTGAAGATTTTTGTCGGATACGGGAGTATCGAGGTTCATGTCGTTAAGAACCATGATCCTGATTTCTGGAATATTTCTCCCCTCCGCTTCCTCAATATCAGCCGTGGAAGTCGAAATATTATTGTCGACAGGAAGCTGAAATCGTAATTCGTAATTCGTTTTCCCAAAGACACGCTCAAATCGATCAACTCGATCTTGTGAAATATCTCCAGCATACCCAACATCGTGATTGCCTGCTACGTTAATAATCCTCCTCTTCCAAATATCGGCGTCATCTCCAAGTATTATTGTATCCTGAAATTCGAAAGCTGGGTGCGACATGATCTCGTCAGGAATTCGTTCTCCGTGTTTAAACACCCTATTCCAATACCTTCGTCCACGTTCCTCAAATTCCTCATCGTCTATCCATTGACTTCCGACAAGATCTCCGAGCACCGTAACATGTGTAGGATCCAACCACCAATGTGTTGCGCGATAAATATGCCCCAGGTAATAATCATTACCGATATGATCAAATCGTTTGCGATAAACTTCGAAAGCCTTGGGAAGATCATCGAGCCAGAAATCTATGATATCATGGAGGCTATGCCGCACACGCTGTAGATGACTATGTTTCGTACCACTAGTAATTCCAGAATCTTGAAATAATTTCTTCAGATTGGGCAGATTGACCGAATCAATGTCTCGTATCGAGGAATCGCCTTCGAGCTGAGGATCGCCCAAAGCCAAAAGTCTAAATGGTGCTACCTTAGAGGCATCATATAAAGTCGGGAGGATGTGTCGACGAAGTGTATTGACGTACGCTTCTGAGGCATCATATTCAGGAGATGGAAAGGCACATGCGTGAAATGCAGGGTATAAATACAAGTAAGAGGTAAAAGTCAAGGAAAGAGGTACAAGCAGAAAGAGTGCATAACGAAGCACATATATTAGAAACATATAGAAGGCAGCATTGGAGTACAGTAAAGACTGAGAAGGATGACTTTGTGAATGTGGAGTTGGTACGGAGTAGGTATACGGAGGATATTTTTTTTTTAGATCTCCTTCCCCCTTCTTCTGTCTGATTTGTTAAAACAAGGGGAATGAGTTGAAGTATCACGTGATAAATGATAATGATTACCCCACCAAGATTTCAAGCTAATCACTACTCACGTTTACCAAGCCATCATCTGACAAGCACTAGCACTCTAACCTGGCTTCCTTACTACTTCTAAAATGCTTCTAGCGTAAAGGTCAAGGTTAATGATTGGCGTCCCTGTCTTCTCCTCAACCTCACTCACTACCTGACGCCCATAAGAATACCGGTACATCAATTTCTACTTACATATATATGATCACTCCCTTATCGCTCCCTATTCCTCTTTCCTTTACCAACTTCAATTTACAATAGATCATCAGCGTTGAAACCCCTTGCGACATCAAAAACTGCCCTCCGTCGAAGAAGTAGAGTATCCTTGCAACATGCCTCTTTTGCATAAACTAATCCATAAGGGAGATCAAGAAAATCCTCCCGAGAAAGACATTCCTTCGGTTCATATCGAACAATCTCTCTCACAGTCGCCACCCTTTCCTTCAACCAAAGGAAATGAAGCACCACCAGATTACACGGCAACAGACACGACCGATGGCCCCGCTGAAGCAGATCTGACTGCGGCCTTTGCCAATCTCAACATCTCACAATCAAATATCCCAGCGTTCCCAGACCCAGATCTATGTCTTGCACATCTCAAATTATTGAAGACTTTCCATAACCTCAAAGAAGATGTCGGTTATTCTGATGGGTTATTTGGTCTGTGGGATGCACGTTGCGAACTCCCAATCGTTGAGGATCGTGACAAAGCATTGGTGGTGATGCGAGAGAAAAGATGGGCTTTATATATCGCGAGAGCGGTAGAAAGATTTGAGGTTTGGTGGTTGAAAGTTTTATGTGAGCAAGAGAATGCAACAAGGTTGCGACAAACAGACATGAATATCAACTCGGATTTCATGGATTTTCCGAGGAAAGGTGTTGCTAAAGTCTGGAGCACTTCATTGTTACCCCCAGAAGGTAGGTTTGGATAGTTAACGTTCGTTCGAAAGACTTTCTAACATTTACGGAAAGATGTTCTCATGGTGTGGCATTCGTTGATGTTGAACCCTCGAAATTATCTGGAAGATTGTATTCGTTTTGGATTGAAAGATCTTTGGGCAACTGGTATGCCATGGCATGCTGTCAATGCAGCCATTGACACAAACTTCAATTATCGAGGATCAGAAGCAGCCAAAGAAAGATTTGTAAATGCCACGGGACAACATTGGAGCAATGCCAAGGATCATGCAGTTAAGACATTGAATTGCCCGCGATGTACTCAAGTTTTAGAGATTCCATGGACTACATGCGCTGCAAACGAGAAGCCATCACTGAAAGAGTATGAATTTTTCTCGGATTATTGAAATTGTTACTAACATCGATAGAATCATGGGAATGAACGGCACTGGTTATGGCGATCAAGGTTTATCGTACACATGTCATAAATGTGGTGGCGAAATCAACCATGATCTATTACGAGTCGCCAAATTTAGGAGAGAGGTTGAAAATCTAATCATGAGGGATTATCCTCTAGGTGGTACAATCCTATCACCGAGTACTGGCCTTCCAGAAGCTCCGGAGACGAGGAACTCTCACTTGCACCAAAACTCTTTCCCTAATCGTATGATCACGGTCGAGCTGAAGGTAAAAATGCTGGACCTCATCGATGGGAATCACAACACGAAACCTGCTATGACTGACGTCAGAAATCTTATCGAGAAAACCATCAAAGACAGATCAACTGTCAAGAAAATCAATAGCGGTGGGAGCAGTTTGGTACGAGGAGAACGTATCGCAGTTCGAAAAATGATGTCAAGATATTGGGAAAACTCTTCAATATTTGCACTTGAACTCGGAGGAGCTGTCATTCGTCAAAGTATATTTGTTGATAAGATGGCCAGTCTTGACTGGCTTCATTCTCCGGCTGCTAGGGAGACAGTAACTCGATTACTTACAAAGTACAAGAGGTTCATTGATATCATGCGTCTCCATCCCAAAAACGTCTGTGTTCCAACATTGGATGTGGATTTAGCATGGCATACTCACCAACTATCACCCAAACAGTATTATGAGTATACATTATCCCAATGCCAAAAGTTCATAGATCATGATGATAAGATGGAAGAAGATGCTCTTTCTACTGCCTTTGAATGGACAAGCAAGACTTATGAGAGACTCTATAAACAAGTTTATTCCGAATGCACTTGTTGGTATTGCGAAGGTAACTTGCTCCGTGTTCTGTCTGCCCAACACTTACTGATATTCTCCAGCTATTCGCTCAAAGCACATCGATTCATCAAATCGGGTGTTTGGAACCTCCAAACATGAAAAGGTTCTAGATTCTTTCTATACATCCGGAGCGGCAAGACAATGTGACCCCAGCAATAGCGCCCACATCAGCGCACACTCTGCTGTTCGCGTCGAAGAATCCGAGATCCGTGCTTCGGTTCTCGATAGACTAAGTCGAAGAAACAAAGCGGAAATGCATCACGCCTATGAAAAATCTCGCCACAGAGCCCAACAAAAAGGAAGAACCATCCCTCCTAGAGATGACTATTATTACATGGCTTGGGGCTATCCATATATGATGTATGGGCCGTATATGAGCCCAATGTATGTAGGCGCTCCTCTTTATTATGCCGGCGATCCGTATGTGATGCCTGTTGGAGCGGGTATGGCTGGAGCTTGTGCGGCTGGATCTTGTGGGGGTGGAGTTGCGGCCGGGGGTTGCGGAGGTGCTGGAGGATGTGGTGGGGGGTGTGGTGGGGGTGGGGCTGCCGGTGGTGCAGTGGGAGGTTGTGGAGGCGGAGGAGGTTGTGGTGGAGGGGGGGGTGGTGGCGGTGGCGGCTGCGGTGGAGGTGGAGGATGTTGAATTATCGTTTCTGTGGCGATAGATTCGAATAAGATAAGGTGAGATGGGTTTACTTATGATACCATGATGGATTTTTGGGTTTGGGACACGGGCTATCACGTTTATGTTTATCGTTATCTTCTGAGCTTCTTACCCTTCTTGCCCTTCTTTACCTCTTCTTTCTGTCCTTTCTTTCATACAATTGAACGCAGTCAGTCAGGCCTCTCGTAGAAGCGACGAACTATGATTCACTTCCATTGATTTAATTAATTCTTCATCTCTAATTATAGTCCGTGCAAACTTATCTTAACCGAAACACTTTAAAAACGTATTTCGCGATATATCCAAATTCAATATCTTTGTTAATTATATTACTATATTATTATTTTATAATCCTAAATATTCGATTAAAATAAAGGAGATAGCTTTTATATATCTTATTCTATATCAAAAAGAAAGAATTATTGAAATATATTTAATAATTATCTATATCTAATAACAAGAGGATATATTAATCCTTGTCTCCTTGAAAAGACAAGAGTTAATATATGTTGAAATATATAATTAAATAGAGTTGAATGATGAATTATATAAACTGGATATTATATAATAGATTTAATGCTTATTGATTAACTTGAAGAGTATTAAGAGGGAAAGGCTTTCAATAAAGCAATATATATATATATATCAGATTAGTAGCTGTTAGCTATATTCTATATATATATTATATATATTATAGAACTAATTATATTCAATATATCTCTTAGTTAATGATGTAGATAGTGTAAAAATCTCTTAATCTCTAGAACCTTAATCTTAGTTTATTCCTTTTTAACTTCTCTTTTTACAATTATTATCTTTGATTAACCTTTTCCTTAATATGTTTCATTATTATTAATACAAATATCCTGAGTTTTTAACAATTGGATTGTTTTATTATATTGATATTTATTTATATATAATATTTCAATAAATCGAAT